CAGGTGGTTGCGAAGTAAAGATAAAAGACCTCAACTATTCACGTTAGACAATAGAACAAGAGCAGTCAAGAATAAGTAAGTACATGTAATATCACAATGTTTTATCTCCACAATAGTGCCACCGTATTTCTGACAAGATGCTGCCAATGGCGCAGGCTGGACCCGGCACGTGATGCTGTTTCATGTTCAACAGAAAAGGCCATTGATAAAGCAGCAGCTCTACACTGAACCCTCCTTTACGTGGATATTAATATCTTTATAAAAGTTTGCCGTATTATTAGTACAACCTTCCCATAATACCCATCGGTTTGAATGTGAGCATGACATGAAAGCTTGACAGAACCTTGCTGAAGCGCCCCCTTCGTGCTCTTTTCTCCCCATATTTCTCTATTTCTATGTATGTGCCTTCAACTCAGATGTGCCATATTTATGTGTAGAGTATAAATAGAACTCAGATGTGCCATATCTATGTGTAGAGTATAAATACACCTATTTGTGCAATAATGAATGTGGTATGCGGTGGTATAAAATCCCAGTCCTACAGAGGGAAACAACAGCAGTATGGACGCTCAGTGGGGTTGGGTCTGTCATTTGTGTAACGCAAGATATCGTTTCTCTGCAACGAGGCGTTGTTTGTACGACGGCCACGTATTCTGTTTGAACGCCGTTGCTAGCGGCCAGGCATGTAGGGACATCTTCGCCGCCAGAGGGATAACACTTGCAAAGGCGCTAAATACCAATGTCTGCTGGAGGCGCTGCGAGTACCCACTTCAATGCAAGGAAAAGCACACTGGTTTACTCTGGAAAGTACAAGCGGTATGTAACACAGGATGGCCCTGTCGATTTTCTTTCGATACCTAAATAAAGAATACTGGCATGAGCGACTTACTGGAAATGAAATAATGTGAAAGGGCACTAGTGGGTTGATTCGACTAACGAGTCCCTATGCTGTTGACTATGTATCAAGATAAAGACGAAAGGAAGTCTACATTCGCCGTGACATAATAACAGCGCCTTACATCTTTCCAACACGCCCCCACAGAAGCTTCTAGAATCAACCCGCTGGGGGAGTTGGTGATAGGCGGCTCAGCCGCCGTTCAAGAGGCTTGACCCGTTACACCCAGCAGAGGAAGCTGCTTTTGCGCAGGATAATACCGCGTGTTTACTAGCGAATAGACAATTTACACCATCAACCTTATTAGGAGTGCACTCAGGCTGTAGCCAATTACTAATATCCGGATATGTGGTTACGCCCAGCACTCCAGTATCGGGGAAATACATTCCATATTTCCTCCTGTCTCCTCGAGAGCAAACGTGCAAACGTTGTGGCAAAATTGAGAAACCTGTATTACACAATCGTCGAGTTCTGTAAAGCGTACAACCCTTCACGCCCATCATATCTGTATTTTCCGTACGTCCTCTTTTTCCGTA